AGAAACATTTTATGACTGTTGTCTTCCTGGGACGGTTATGGAAGTAAGATGTCTATCTCAGAGTTCTCTCAGCAAAGGGGAAACATGTAAAATAAATAGAAATAAATAAATAAATTGGAAAAAGTAACTCACAAATAGTTTTGCAAATATAAAGTGCATGAGCGATTGTGTCCTGAGGGTATAGAATTAACTCACACGATGATAATTTATATTTTATGTGAGTTTTATTTTTATACACCTGCTTTTCTTTGCAATTCATGAAAAAAAAACATATTGATATCAAGGCAATCACGCTGTCACAGAATTCATAATCCTAACTGGGAGACTTCACATCAATATGACACGTCTCTTTTATGCTAACTCTTGCAGTTTAGAAAAAAGTACAGGTTATAAACAGCTAATAAAGTTTCGCCATTTGTTTGCCTGATATATTCTCTTTCCATTCGATGGAGTCGTGGGCTCCTGCTGGTTTTGGAGAAGTCCGAGTTTGCAGGAAGGGGAAGGGCTTGCAGCCCAATCTCAAGAGTCCCCTGCACGTCCTCCTGTGGGTTTAAGTCGGGCGGGTTTGTCGGCATTTGGGTTTTCAGACTGTAGGCTTTGGGCTGAAGGTTGAAGTCCACTCCAAGCTTGACTGTGCTGCGTGGCCCTGTGTGGGTTACAAACGGGGTGAGTGAACGGGCTGTGAAGGGACTGGTACCAACTGCTTAGGCTTTTCTGGTCACGTGGCATCTGTTGCATCAACTCAGCTATGCTCAGTGCCGAAGCAGCCATCAGCCTCGGTCTGTCCCCCAAACACCTTTTATTATGTGCCCGAACCATGAATTTCATACGATGCTGCGTGTCCTGACATGTGATGATTCTTTTCATTTTTTCAACCACTTAAAAATCATTCTAGTTCATGGGAGGCACAAAAGCAGGATGTGGCGTGTGGGCCGCGGTGTGCTGACCCCTGGACAGAGGGCAGGCTCCACATCAGGCTGCTGGGTTTTGACCCGCTTCTGTGCTCCACTGGCCGAGCTGCGCTGAAACGACCTGCTTGGATGTCATGGATTCTTTGTACAGTGGGGCTCCTACCCTTCCTTCCAGGGCGGCTCGGAATCACAGGTGCCATGAGCGCAGATGCCCTGCAGACACGTGCCCCCAGAACTGCTCTGCAGGGCTGGGCTCCGAACGCCCCTCACTTACCTGGGGGTCTAAACACCGTGGCTGCTGGGCACTCACCTTGAACGGGTGGAGGATCCAGGCAGGGATGGTGGTTGTCATTTCCTCTTTCACAACCTTGCTCCAGCCTGCGCTGGGTGCGGGGCCCGCCCTGCACTAGGGGCTCCCAGTGGGTGTGGGGCTGGGTCCAGCTGTCTCTGAGGCCCATCCGGGTGGGCGCCCAACGTTGCATAGCTCGGCAGCGTGATGCCATCATCCTGTGACTGAGGCAGGGTGTTCAGAGCTGGGAGGGCCTGGAAGCAGGAGAGCTTGTGCCGTGTGCTTCCGGGGCGCCTGCTTCACTTAGTGTGGCTGTGTGGATGGAGCCACGTTTGGGGCCCACTGGTGGGAATTCAGCAGGCAGCGCTCAGACATTTGGATGGTGTTACTGCCCCACAGGTAGAAACTTCTCGTTTTGTTGTCTCTCTGTCTCTCTCCGTCCTGTCCACTTTTCTCCTAATGCACCCTGGCAGCCTGGCCTGTGGATGAGACAGATCACCTGACTTGGAAGGAAACACCGTGAGAAAGAAAGTGGAGAGAAAGCATCAGGGGGGAGTGGGGCGTGGCTGCCTCACCTGTTCTCACCAGGTGATGCTGCCTCACCTGTTCTCACCAGGTGATGCTGCCTCATGGGCGAAGAGAAAGCAGAGACCAGGACAGAGAGGGGGAGCAGGAGCCGGGTCACGTATGGAATTATTTCAGCTAAAAACACGACCATCACTTTATTCTATTTTTAAAAACTAATTAGTTAATTTTAAAAACATCTTTATTGGGGTATAATTGCTTTACAATGGTGTGTTAGTTTCTGCTGTATAACAAAGTGAATCAGCTATACGTATACATATATTCTATTTTTTTTAAAACAAAAAGGAGCATGGACCACAGGATAGTCATGCTATCATGGCCAGTGAGGAACATGTCGTATTTCTTCAAATGCCATTCTGTGTGTACGTTGTCACTGAGGCACTGATCCCAACTCAGTTTAGGTGATGTGAAACGTAGTTGAATTCTCTCGGGGTGGGTTAAAAATTTGTATAAATAGTTCGAGTCAGCTGATACCTCCCAGGAGGGAGAACAGTCCTTACACCCGTTAGGGTCATAAGGGAGACAGATGTCTCTACACTTTCGGGGTAAAGCTCAGAGACCCCCAGACACTCAGGAAGGTTATTGTTTAACTCGTAGAGGATATCATGGTTGAGGCTGTTCCCCCAGGTTGAAATGTTTCTCCCGACTCTGCCCCTCACCCGGGGCCTGACCACCTTCCGCGCCCCCAGGCTGCAGGGGCCGCACCTCGACGTTCCTTCCTTGCTCTCTTTAGCTCTGGAGGCACCGCAGCGTTTCCCTCCGCGATGCCACCTCCCCCCGCAGCTGCTGCCCCTCCACCGCGTGCATGTCCGGTCAGCTCGGTCTTGCCCAGGGCCAGCCGGCAGCGTGGGGGCAGCGAGGGTGCAGGGGCATCCTTGGGTGGACCGCGGTCCCACAGACGCGGGCTGGCCCTGCCTGCACCCGGCTCTGAAGCTTCTCGGGCACGTTCGCTTTAAACATAACTGGTTTGTTTATCACGGCAGTCTCTGCGATTTCTTAACCCCTTCACATGTCTTCTCAATGATTAATAATTCTCTCTTACTGGGCGATGCCTTCTTTTGGGACTTCTTATAAAATATTTCTGGTGAGGGCTAACTCTTTTATTTATTTAATATACTTTCATGTGATTTTTGCAGAATCGTCATCAATATGCCATCTACTGTAGATCTGAGAATTCTTTCCTGATTCTTTGATTAAGCCTGCATCTCTTTTACAGGTCCCCACGCTGCCACACATGCACACACAGTCTCTCTCTCTGTCTCTCTCTCTCTCTCTGTCTCTCTCTCTCTCTCGGTCTCTCTCTCTCTACTAATTTTTGGTGGTGTCCTTCTTTCTTAAACAGGATGGATCTGAAATCAGGGAGCCCTTGGCTGGACCATGCCTTCCACATGTCCTGCACGCAGTTTGCCGTGTATTTCTCGGGACCCTCCCATCTGCATGTGGCTGGCCACGGTGCCCGTAGCGCTCTGGGTCCCTCATCACTGGGACCCCCTCTGCTCACTCGGCTGTTGCCTGATCACGTCAGCATTCTGGTGCAAAACTTGCACTTTCTAGGAGAAATGCCAGCAGATGAAAGATCCCAGCTCAACCTTTTCCTCTGGAAGCCGGAGGGGAGAGGCCTGGGGAGAGCTGGAGATGCTCACGTGAGACCCCGGCCAACTCCCTGACCACCCGCCTCACCCCGAGGCCCCCATGACCGCCGGGCGACTCCGTCGGGCCGCTGGAGCCTGAGGCTGGGGGTGGGGAGGGAGCGCAGCCCGGGGCCAGGCTGACGGGAGTTCCCAGCAGCCTGTGCCTCAGCATCACAGCTTTCCCCTTCCCAAGAAAAAACAGTGTTATTATTATATGTCTAATTCCCTAATGTGTGACCTAGCAGCCCGTATCATCTTACAGAGGGTGAGGAGCAGAGAGGAGGGTGGACGTGTGATCAGAGCTTTCAATATCCCCCCCGCCGGCCCTTACATCATCCGCCGCTCTCTAAGAGGATTTTCAGCCGGCTTGGCTTCGTTATTAAAATAGTAATTAATTTTTTCCTCTTCACAAAACCCAGGGACCTTCAGATGGAGGCCTCGGCAGCGAGGGCAATCTCCTTTTGAAAGTGGCCTTTCTGGAAGCCGTAATCGGCTCCCCAGCTGTACAGTACACATGTTCTCCAGTAAATGTGATTAAAGAGCTGCACAAAAAACCCCTTGCAGAAAATTAATTCAGTTTCCAGAATAAAAAGTTTGATAAAGTTGTGCAATGCTCCAATGACAACACATAATAGAAGGCTAGAGTTTTATCCCCTTGAAGGATAAATGAGCGGCCAGAAAGGTCTGGTAGTTCCCAGAGAAAAAACACCTGCTACAGCTAACTCACGTGCGCCTCCCCCTGACTGCGAGCCTCACCGGCCACGTCAGGCGGCGGGAGGCCCAGACTTGCTGCTGGCAGGACAGTTTCAGACTGGGCTCCCCGTGTCGTCCTCGGCCCCCGTCAGGGCCCGTCCCGCTCTGCCCCGTGACCGACATCCCCGCAGAGACCCACAAGGGGCCAGGACGGGGCCCCGGTGGGGACCTTCCTTGCTATTCAAGGCGGGCTGTGGGCAGTGGAAGCTTAAGACCTGGTCGGAGCCCTGCCTGCTACTCACTATTCTTAACTTCTCCAAAGCTCAGGTTTTTGCTCTTGAAACAAGACTAATGTGTCTCCTTTCGGGGTTATCATGAGGATTGAATGAAATGATAAATCTAGAGGGTTTGCCACTGTTCCTGCTGCGGGAGCTGCAACCGGTAGCTGCAGGCGTTGGAGGGTGGAGAGAACATGGCCCACAGCTCTTTCTTCTCTGGGGACAGAACCTGCCTTGTGTCCTGCAGCGGCTCGACCCCTCCCCAGTTGTGTCCCCCCGGGCACTTCAGGATATGGCCTTATTTAAGGTCTTTGCAGATTTAGTAAGTTAAGGATTCCGAGACGCAGTCGTCCTGTGTGCAGCGTGGCCCTAACTCTACTGGCTGGTGTCCTTACGAGAAGACACACAGGGAGGAGGCCGTGTGGCTGGAGGGATGTGGCCACAGCCATGGGGTGCCCAGGGCCCCAGCAGCTGGAAGAGGCAGGAAGGTTCCTCCCCTGGAGCCTCTGGAGGGAGTGCGGCCCTGCTAGCACCTTGATCCCAGACTTCCTGTCTCCAGAGCTGAGAGAGGATAAATTCTGCTGCTCTGAGCTGCCAGGTTTGTGATAATTAGTCAGGTTGCCCTGGGAGACCAACAGGAGACAGGGAAGGTCAGCCCGTCTCGCAGGAAGGCGAACTCAGATGCTGAGACGAGGGGCCTGGGCTCCTCGGAGCTCCTCGCACACCTGTGGAGAGGGAAGGGGAGCCTCACCCGGGTCAGTCTCGGCCCAGGTGAGGCCACTGCCTGGGCTAAGGGTGGACGAGACACACAGTAGGCCTGTCCACGGGCGGCAGACTTTGGTCTGAAAATACCTGAGCAAAAGGGCCATGGGCTATTTTGAGTGGCATCCCGTGGCCTCTCTGGCCGTGTTGGTTGCCTCCGGGGAGTGGCAGCGCCAACCCCATAGTGGGCAGCCTGCCCCTTGGCCTTCCTGTCTTCTGACCCCGGACGGGGCGGGCGGGAGCTCTAACCACAGCTGGAGACCAGCCCAGCAGGACAGCTCGGCCCAGGGCTTCCCCATCCTCCCCGGGCCGCCGCCTCCCCTCGGCGGCCGTCTCCTTGCTTCTGACCACGGTACCCGCGTCTGGATTGGGGGGGAAAGGAATTCTTCTCTCAGCCCTCTGCCGGCTTGTTCCTCCACCTGCCAGGGACGCCCCAGGAGGGGGAGACAGGGGAGGGGAGGTGGCAGGTGGCCCTCTGTGCAAGGGTCCTCACTCCTCTCTTGCAGACTGAGGGCTGGTGGGCAGACAGCAGGGGCTGAGCCAGGGACGGGGTCCTGAGCTCCCCTGTCGCCAAGTACCTGTGGGCTCTGCCAGGGGGCGCTGCAGCTGGGGGACATCGTGTCCACCCCCACCCCCCGGTTGCAGCCTCTGCTCCCCCCTTTCTTTGGTTTCGAAGAACTGCCTGCCTGTCTCGTTCATTACAACTTAAAGCAGCCACTGGAAAAATGGGACATAGAGAAAGAAAAATAGTTCAGATTACGTCTCCTTTTGCACTAAAAAGAGCTTTTACATTCGTATAAAAATATACAAAGTCAGCTTCTCAGGCAGAATTGTATCAGAAAGAAAGTTCTTGAACGTCATGACTCTACATGTGGCTGATTTTTACTTCCTAAGATGAAAAGAAACAGATTCTCATACCCGAGGAGATAGAGACGGTTAACCTCCTCAAACGTGGAATAAATTCTGTATGTTTTCCTGTGGAAGTTTCCACACTGAAATAATAATTGTTAATATAACTGAGTGAGAACACGCTCTTTCTTGGTAGGCGATGGTCTTTGCAACCCCAAACATTTGAGCAAAGCTGTTATCAGCAACCGTCTCTTGAAATTCCTCCACCTTTTTGCAGCAGGGTGAGAACACGAGAGACAGAAACGGTGTGCGTCTTGCTCTATTTCAGTCGTTCTTCTTGCATCTGAGTGGGGCACCTTCAGAATTAGAGGCACCAGTTTTATTCCACTTCTTAAGGTCGGTTTAATAAATTAACTGACCTGAAATGAACATCTGATCTGATCTGAAACGGACTTTACATGTGTGAATTGAGGCTGAAACCTGTGCCAATGTTCTTGGAAACATCTAGAGTATTGACAGCTTGAGAAACTGAATTTTAAACTTAAAGGTTAGAAACCCCTTTTCTCTTTTCCTTCTTTTTCAGTTTTCCAGAGTCTGTACTGGGGCCCTAAGGTCCACAGTGGAACAGGGACCCTTCCGCATTTTGCCCATGTGGATGGAGCCTGTCCCAGGTGTTGGGTGTGGCTGCCCACACGCTGTACACTTGACTCCATCCTGTTGGATGCAGATTCGACTCACGTGGTCTGCAGGTTTTCCGTGTGTTGCTTGTGTGTCCTGCTTCCCTCTGAGGGCAGCGTGGCTTTGGGGGCCCTGCTCCCGTCCCCTCAGGGGACGACCCAGACAGAGAGTCTTGGATCGGTGTGCAGAATGGTGTCTAGTACCCAGTAAACACTTCATTAGTGTTACTTATTGCTTTAATTTACCATTATTACTTAACTACAAGTACTCAGGTCTTCCAAACTGAAAACTGAAAACCCTGAAGCTTCCCTAACACGCAGCACGCAAAATTAATTTTTTACACTTTCTAACATTTTATTCCTTTTATTTTCAACGATGTTCACCTGGGGGGGGGGGGGCCAACCCTTGATTCCTGGCATGAGCTCCCTCCGACCAGCAGGATGTGTGTTGGTGTGAAGCCATCCTGCCCTGCCCAGAACGGGCCCCTATTCAGCTTCTTGCAGGTACGAGGCTAATGGTTCAATTACTTGTGGGGCGAGATCAAAGGACAGGAAATGGCTGTCATGCCCCAGAGGAAATATTTGTAGAAAAAGGGGCCCAGCAGCAAATAAAGCCCTAATTAATGTCCAAGTCCCGCGCTAATAAACGGACCACAGTCGTAGGCCGAACAAGCGTGTGTCCAGGCTGCAGTGGATTTTGTGAATTAGCAGCAGAATGAAGCTCCCTGTTTCCAAGGATTAAGGGCGGGAAGGAAGGATGGGGTCTCCAGTGGCTGCTGACAAAACCTTCGAAGTTTGCGTTTCACCTTCAGGGAGGATCTTGGAACTCCCTGCCTCTTGGGGGGCTCCTGACCCCTCCAGGAAATGGCACTGTCATTGCTGCTTTAAATTCTGCCTGGGCCCCAGAGCCTGCTGCTTGGGTGGGAAGGATGGCTGCGGTTTTGAAGGCAAAGGACTCTCACCTTTATTTGACACTTAGCTTAGAGTTTCCTGGAACTTACACGTGAAGAAAAGTTTGCATTTTAAGGGAAAACACAGGACAAGTTGGTGTTTTTCTCTGCTCTGTGTCTTCATCATTTTATATGGAGGTGGGATGGGCATGTGGGTGGGATGAGGTCACCAGGAGGCAAGGTGAAGCCTCCTCTTTTATATAATACGCGTTCTGCTTTGCATTCAGATGATCATAAATCAATGCATTTAAATTCAGACGTAAAGTGGAAAAGATACAGAATCTGAAAAGCCTGTATTCTTTAAAACCAGGGGATTGATGTGGAAGTTGTCATAGCCATTCCTGCAGAGCACGGCGAGCCCTGCCTTGCAGGAAAGCGCACAACCCAGAGAGAAAAAGTGCTGGATGCCAGGCTGTGTCGTGTGCGACCCTTTAATCTGATGCCGTTCCAGGCAGGGTCAGCATAGACCCTGTGAGGAGGACAGGCACCAGTTTGGAATTGGGGCGGGGGAGGGCACACTGGGAAAAACATCCACGGAGCACAGACTGGAAGGCGGAAAAGATGGTGCCAGCTTCATATTTTTAACTGAGAAATCCTTCCCCCTGTTTGGTGAGAACACACTTCCAGCTCAGTGGAAACACAGCCGTGTCATCACACAGTTGGTACCCGGATCTGACTGAACGTGCTGCTGAAAGAACAGGAAAGTCTCCATTAACCAGGGAATGTCACAGGATCAATTATTGCTGGTGCAGGATCCGGGACTCACATCCTGAGGTGGACTTTTGGGGAGGTACTGAAGAGTGAGTGCCAGAAATAATAATCTGACATTAAGCTTTCATGAATCTGACCAAATGCATGTCTAAGAAGAGAATTTATGGGAAGTCAGATTGTGTGCGATTTCATGAATGCATTTCTTTTTGAATGTGACAGAAAAACGATTCGTTATACCTTTAATCAAACTGTGAATTGAACAGATATTGAAAATGCACACAGAATCTATTAAAATGACACCAGAAATACGGCTTCAGTGAACAAGGGGAGAGATGTGCGAAGTGAACCTTGAAAACTTGAACAAAAAGTCTTCCATTGTCCTGCATCAGGAGGCTCTTAACTGCAGGAGCGGTCTAGTGTCTGGAGCTCTGGATGTGCCCCAGACCCTCCTGATAGAAAATCATGCCTTGGGAAAGCTATTTTCAGGTAGGGTTTTTCCCGTGATCTGAGCCTTGCAGTGAATTTTGCAGAATAATGTAGGAATAAAGTCTCAGCAAAGACTGTGAGAGCAAATGAGTCAGTGGGTTGCTCAGAGAAGTCTAGGGTGGGAGGGGTCTTTCGTGGAGGGTGACTGGGGAGGGGGTCTTTGTGGAGGGGTGGGTGGGAGTGGGGTGCTTTCGTGGAGGGGTGGGGTTCAGTCCTCCCCAGCCCCGAGTGGCTCTCCATTGGAGCTTCATTAAATCTCTGACTTTTCGGGTGAAAGGCATCTCCAGCCCATCTCCCCGCAAGTCCGAAGGGTCGAGTGCATCCTGCCTGGAAGGGCCTTTCTCTCTCTCCCGCTGGGAGGCCTCTGTGGCCCAGTGACACTGTGCGGGGGCTTGTCTGTGTGGTCTTCACTGCGGATGCCGGGTAAGGAGCTGCCGTCCCCCCAGCCCGACAGTAGGTGACATTCCTTTCGCTCTGGTTGTTTGTAATCCTAGGTTCCCATCTTGCCAGGCCATCACCAGGTCTGTCCTCATGCTCTTGGTGTTTCAGCAGCTCTGGAGGCAGTGATTGCTCCCCTTCCTGAAACACTTTCCTCCTGGTTTTCCCTCGTGTCCCCTCTCCAGGCCCCGCCCACCCCAGCAGGCCCCGCCCACTCCTCGCCCCATCCGTCCTCACCAACCAGAGCATCACTTATCAATCCCTTGGCTTTAAACACCGTGTGTGCACGAGTGTGCGTGCACGTACACATATCTCTCTGGCTCTGCAGATGCAAGAAGCAAGGCCCAGAAGCACTGTGATTTTTCCAAGGCCACATCACAGGACAGTGAGGGGCTGGCCCGGAACCCAGGACCCCTGACTCCTGCCTCAGCCTCTGTCCCCCCACGCGAGCTTCTCAGATGGGACTTGAATTGGGGGCAGGAGAGGACAGACAGGGGGCCAACACACCTGGCGCTCGGGGCCTGCCCACCTGGGACCTGGTCTTCATGGTCTCCTAGGTCCCCTAGACAAGGGTGAGTGTAGTCCCGGAGACCTTGGCCCCGGGGACCTACCTTACCAGCCTCAGGGTCGGTTTAGCGAATCAGGGGTGGGAGCTCAGGGCCAGTTCTGTGGGATCCTGGGCCTTTATCAGCTCCCGCTGGAACGGGATGGGCTGCACCGGCCCCTAGTTGCACCTCCATGGTCCCGGGCTTTGATATTTCTCTGTGCAAGGATGCTGCAGCTTCCGCTTGTCGCCCTGCTGGACTGGGCTTAGGTGGAGGGGCAGCCCTGAAGGCCTCTACCTGCATCTTC